TCGCGCAGTTGCTGGAGATCCTTGCGCTGGAGGATTCTCAAGAGGTGTTAAGCCAGCTGTTCGCGCTTGTCCATCAGGACAGCGATCTTCGCGGCTTGTACGAGGGTAAGTAACAGCCAAAATGTCAATTTTTTCCTGTCTGAAATGGGTTACGTGCTATAAGTTAGATACTAATAGAAATGCTTCTTTAAACAGGCAATTAAGCCCATTCCGTTCCTTGTTGTCCTCTCCCCTGGTGTTGTCGTCTTCTTTTTTTCCGCGTCTGTGCCGTCATTTTCCTGTCATCCCGCCATTTATGCCCGTCTATGCCTCCTATGCCCGTCTATGCCGTCTATGCCATCTATGCCTTCTGTTTCACCATGCGGTCGTTTGCTGTTCTGTTTCGTGCTGCGTAGTGACCTTATTCGGTCATCGTTTCTTTTTCTGTCTGGTGGGTTTGAGCTCATCGTTGTCGGGCGATCGTTTCTTTGTGCGTGCCTGTCGTTTGGGCGCGTTCTAGGGCTCTTGGTGAAGGTAACGTATCATGTATTTGTGGAAGCTTCCTAGTTTGGATGAGATGCTCATGATTAAATTTCATATCCAGTAGAGCGTATGTCTGGTTCTCGGCTTTGGTGGTCGTCTCGGCCACGGTGCTTTGGTGTGTCTGGCGGTCGCCGCCTTCGTCAGGCGATGGGGTGCGGCCCAGACATCTCAGTGGATGGTTTCTTGAGGTAAAGGCGGTTGGGGTTGGCATTGGCGCCGACACTGGCTGCAGCCACCGGGGGTGAAGGGGTTGGAGGGGGCACATGGGGACAACTCCGGTTGAGCCGGTGGTGGGGAGGTGAGCAACGCTTTGGTTGTGTAGGCAGCAGGAATCCACCATCGAGACACATGTACAGCGGCGGTTCTTGACAGCAAATGACAACCCAAGGTGTCATGCTTGTATGATTACGGTACGTACTATGCTTACGGCCATTTTTATAAGAAGAGGCTTACTAACTGATATACCCTCTTTCCTTTCCTTCTTCCCTTCTTCTTATCGCATTCAACACGGATGTGGTGTGAAGAAGGCGAAGAGGGGCCCAATATTAGGAATTTATTCCTCTCCCAAGGTTGTCATCCCAGTCAGTTCCAGCTCATGAAGATGGTGTTCCTGCGTAAGCCCTGGCAACCAGGGCAATGTTGCTCACCCAATCCCTGCCACCGAAGGCTCAACCGGAGTTGTCCTCGCCCTTTCCATATCCTGGATCCTCCACCGGCTGTAGTCAGTGTCACAGCCATGTTAGTCCAGCCTCAGCCTCCACCTTTGCCTCCGGATTCCGTGAAGCTGGGGTGTCCGGGTTGGGGTGTTCGGCCAGCGGTGTGGGTGGTACGCCGCGATGGAGAGCGTCAGCTTTCCAGGCTAGCCGAGTAAAAATTCGGGGTGTTGTGCGAATCCCGTCTTTGGCTTGATCACGTCGTCTCGTGTGGTCTTGGTGGATGATTCATGATGGTTATGCTGCTACAGGTGGCGTCATATTTCCACGCTAGCCGAGTAAAAAACTCCGGGACTTGCGAGAATCCCGTCTTTGGCTTGATCAGTCTCTTGACAACAGACTATCACGGTAATGGCGACGACAAACGGGCGCTCTTCCAAATTGGCTTACAAACAAGAACACGCGATACTCAATGAAACATGGATTGAGAAATTCCAGGTAAAGCAGCAAATTTATTGTCTGTTGGCGGCGCTATGGCGGCAAACTGATGCGGATATCTGTATTACTCAAACAGATCACGAAGATTACAGCATATGCATACAACAAGTGCATAGACGAAGCAGCTGCAAGGCCTAGCGAACAGGCTACTTTGGCATGACTCATTCGAGGTGAACATTATATCGGTGGCAAACACAGGCGACATGACCTTTTCGCGGATTATTTATATGCGGCATAAATCTCAAGCTTTTCAAGGACTTGTGCGAGACAACCTTAACCCAACAAATAAGCAATGTCAGCAATGTCAATTTCCGATATGATGGCAACAAAGCTGGGCACACCACAACTATTGGACCATATCAGCATCAAATCAATGAGATGGCAAAAAAAAACTGGATCTACTGTCTGCTCATGGCAACAAAGCAACAGGGGCTTGCCGCAACAACAACAACGCTCAATCAACAAAGGTGGTAACTTCAAATGGTGGCAATGGAGTACAAAAGGGCACATCATGGACGTTTGGCGACAGCACACATGACGGTTTGTCCGACGAATCAACATCATTCAACAAGACGACTACTTCTACGTATCGCTGCTTCTGGGGACAAAAAAAACCCAAAGAATCAAGGGAACAGTTTTCAATCAACGAAGGGAGCTGATTTATTATCTCCATGTACGACATGAACGTGATAATAATCAAACACAAGCGCAAGAGCGGCAAGAAACTAGGACGACATACAGCTCATTTGACAACATTTGCAGCGTTCATGATACGGGGCAGCACATTCGACTGGTTGAGTACATGAAATACGCAAATCGCCACTACGGTAACCCCGTCCTATCCGTTATTACGTTGCGGTGACAAGAAACTAAGCGACAATTTCAGCCCACAATCAATCATCAACTATTTTATTGTGATGGCAAAAAAAAAACAAGTGGCAACAAGATGCAATGGGCAACAAATTTCAGATCGCACACATGGACGAAATCGGCCCGCAGCAACTACGAGCGACAACAGGGCGCGATTGACACAAAAATGCGGGCTTGGCAACAACATAACAAGGGGCAGCAAAAACAAACCTTGACGACGTCTCGCAGATACTACAAATCCAATTTCGCATACATTCATTTGTCTGGGGCATATTCACCTTCACGCGTAGGCATAAGGCGAAATCATGGAGCGATGGCCTCTTAAGTGACTAAAGATGCGAGAGCAATGAACTATTGAAGGAGGCAGTTCCGAAAATGCAGCAAGCACACCTGGCTATTCGATTGGACAATGTTAAATTAGCAAGGCGACGGTACCCATATCAATCTCTTCTTCTTGGGACAGCAAAGGTGTGACGCGACAACTTTCAACTCAAAATGGAGCGTCATTCCAATGGCGGCAAGAACCATCAAGGACGACAAGTTCAACTGCTCAAACGAAACTGAAACGAATGCTCTTGGTGCTGAGGCAATTATCATGGCGGAAGATTAGCTTGCACAAGCCGCAATAAGTTATTGATGAGAGTCCTTACAGGTAAATACGTGATATCAAGCTAAAATATGAAAATTATGAAGCAATCAACAACACTTGGATCATGCGTACTTAACAAATTCTCTCTTGGTTAGGACGGTTGCACACGGTACTATGCGACGGTACCTTGAATATAGGCATACACATACGCTCTCACGGCATGCCAAAGGATAGCACAGAGGAGATAGCGAGATACGATACTTGCTACTCGCCGTTCACTATTCGACAATAACAAGAAAAACTTGTCCCCAGAGCTGTAGACAGTGGCTATCCACATCGAAATTGCAGTGGAATCGAGATAACGCCAAGCGTAGCAAACAGATCGTAGTATCTGTATTATGGTAAGAAGCAGTCTAAAGAAATGTAATTGTTACATTCGAATCATAACTAAGTAAAATTTCACTTAAATACAGTGTAGTAAACTATCTACGAAAACTTTCTTACAACGAAGCCCTGCTTCCCGGAAGTCCCGTACAAGTCTCCTCCGACAAATGACTGGTAAGTTAATGTCTAGGTAATGATAGCTCCCACAAACATGACAGATAAAAAAAAAGAAAAAAGAAAAGAAAAAGAAAAAGCAAAAAAAAAAGACAAAAAATACAAGCAACAAATGGCACAAGATCGGAAACTGAGGCGGAATCCATGCAACGAACCATACCATTGCCAAAACAAAGAAACACTATCTATGGTGCGAGACGCTTCAGTACTACATCAAAAGCCTACAGTAGCAGTACTTTGAAGCAAGGTTACGACGAGATGTATATCAACATTACATTATAAATCGGCATCGACACTACTGCAACACAATTCATCTTACAAAAATGACGCAATTGCGCAAGTAATACAAGACGAACATCCAATCAAGAATTTAAAAAAGCGTTACATTCAAAAGTAAAAGAAAAAAACAACATTCGATATCAAACTGAATACCAATGTAATCATCAAAGAAACCAACGGTAAGTAGAAGCAAAGATGATGCCGTGTTTAATCTTTACGACGAGATCATCAATAGCCAATATTAAAACACATCTATATATTTAGTCTAAACGAAAGCTAAATCAAATTTCGAACTCACAATCATTAAGAGTCACTATTACAACGCAAGAAACAAATGTAATCGGATCGAAGGCAATATCATCTCAGGAACGAGCGGTGCATGAATCCTACCATAATGCACCAACCCAGTGCGCCAAAGCAACTTAAAACATGTCACGCCTCACAAAATGAAGATATGGAAGAAAACCGAAACTGAAAGATTTTAAAAAGTTTATAAAAAAGAAAAAAAAAGAACAAGGGGCTATCATTACCGCAGATAAGAACTGACTAACATTTGTAGGACTGGAGATGAGGACATAATATTTCCTAGCAGTGGTATGTATATCTACTAGTGTATAGAAACATTTATTATTCGAATTACTTTGTGCAATAAATTTTATGCGTTCAATCAAATCGTACATCAAAATCTCAAAAGTGACATGCAAACAAGAGCATCTGCTACGTAGAGAGGTTGTTCACTAATAGATTACATGAGCGCGCCGAATTCCCATCATACCAGATCAAGATATACATACGTACCTGCGGAATAAAGGTATTAGTGTAACGTGGCTTTCATAACCTTTCAACTACGCATTATGTCACATGCTCCATCAAATAGATAGAGAGGGATTCACCCAAGACCACTGAGATGCTTACATAATAATTAAGGGCAGGAGAGACGGTAAAAAAGAGTAAGTTGGGATGTGTGATGAGATTACACATATTTTAATACATGATGTGTGCCTAAATGATATATTTGTATCATTATAACAGCATAGCCCTGCGATATACATAGTATATGTACATTGTGTCAGTCTCGCTTTTGCTATGCAACTAACGATTGTGATGTGTATAGCTCTCGTTAGATAGTAGTATCTGTATCAGAAAATGTAACTTATATGTATGCCGTAGCTTCTCCTGATAGCTTGTACTGTATGCGACTAGGCTGCTAAGCAGTGTATGCATTGTTTATGAGATGAGTAATAAATGGCCCTTGTATGTTACATAGCCCATGTTCCATAATTGCAATTCTCCAGAATCAAAGTTGCCTGCTTATCATATGTATGCAATAAAATCTATTATGAGGTTCACCCTCTCTTTCTTTCTACATGGCACCCTTCCAAAGATATAAGATTCATGTATTTCCAATGATTCAAGCTCAGGAAAGTTTTTATGTACGTCTATACCTGCTTCTTGTTTATCTTCAAGCCACTAGCCCAAAATCTATTCCATGGACACGTCGCCTTGGAGATTGGCATGCTTGTTCTTATCCTGCCCATGTTTTTTGCTTGGATAACACTATTGAAATGGGCAAAGGCAAAACTACTTATTATAATCAGAGAGTCGGACGGTCTATTGGAATGACGTCTGACAACCATTACAAATATCTTTTAATAATTTCCACGGGCGTAGGAAAAAGCGGGATAACTCTCACCCCGCTACAATGGATTCGATCAAACCAGTGCCGAGCACAATGGCGTCGAAATCAGTTTCGTCGAGTAGTTGAGGGTTTTCTTTTGACATTGACAAGGAAAAGTACACGTCCCAGGTTAGGTTTAGGCGGAAACAAAAAAGGATTATTAAAAGGGGAAACGTGGACTTTGGAATATATAGTTCGTTTCCTTGACAACAACGAAAGCTCACCATATCGAACCTCTCCCGTTGTTGCCTCTCGGGACTCATTACTTTAACATTTGAATAACATTGGCCGGTGCTTGCCAGTTTGAATCAGTTGGCAAAAATTCTGGATGGCTCTGCCGCCAACAAATAAGCAGAATATCGCCCCTAACTTTCATCCGTACAAATCATTCACTATGAGACGATGCCGTGAAAAAGTGGATTAAAAACATGTTTTCAAGGTTATCCATATCGACAAGATTACTCATCAGCAGTTCAGAAGGCAAAAAGACACAATAGTTTATTCGTACATCGACATACACTGTTTTTTTTCAATCATAGCTGTTTCTCATAATGATAATGCAATTTGCCAAACTATCAAGCGTTTCCGCCTATTATTGACTTACCATGATGCCTCTTATCGTTGGTCAAGATAAACTGTCACCCGACATGCTGTCGCCACAAACTTTTGTATTTCCTTTCTATGGCAACGCGTAACACAGCCAAGGATCATCTGTCAACACTCCCTAGCGATATACAACACATAGTTTTCAGTCATTTGACTTTTAAGGAACGATGGCATTATGCCTCTGTATGCAACGATTGGCGCTCTGCGATTTTGGAATGGCAGGGCATGTGGGAAAGTTTGTCAATGGACGATGGGCACAACATCGTACCTGACCTCCTCCCGTATCGATCGTGCATCCGTGGATCTGTTGTAAAACAAATACGCGTGCAAGCCAGCTATGACAGAGATCATTCGACAGCTGTAATTAATTTCTTAACCGATCTGAATTGCGACGCGATTGAAGAAGGTACGTATAACAACATAACGGTTGCTACATAATAACACTAAAAACTTTTGACAAAGTTAAAATATGCTCCAGCCTTGTAAAACAGTCAGATTTCCTAAAGTTAATTGGTATATGTGGCAGCACACTTACCCGCGTTTCTATCGCACACGACGAAGAGGACCAGACCAATACTACCCCTGACATGATACTGTGTTATTGCCCGAACCTTCGCCATCTGTCCTACTATGGTTTCGTATATGGCGGTGAACAAAATAAACCACAGTTGGCGCCATCGTTCAAACACCAGCATCTCGTGGACTTGAGTTTAGAGTTTTGTAACATTGATAAGGAAGGCAGCTTTGATCCGTTACCGTTCCTGAGAACAGCAACAAATCTCCAGCGACTCTCCTTGTGCCTGTGTAATATCGTAGCAACTGGCCATTCGCTTCCGTCGCTTTTACGTGAGCATTGTCCAAAACTTGTATCTCTTTTCCTCGCCGGTTATGGGGATGGTGGAACACTCGACCAGGCAGCATACGACCAGTGCGAATGGAAGTCGAAAACAGTGAAAAACCTCTCAACTACCAAACCTATATCTTCTTCTTTGGAGCGACTTGCTTTGCACGATTCGCAAGATTTCTATAATGGATCGCAAGACCTTCTTTGTGCGATTGCAAGAGATTACCGAGAAAGCTTAAAGTTTTTAGATCTTAAAGGAGCCACACTCACATCTGAAAGTGTTTTCGGACGATTATCAGTACTCGTTTTCCCTTCCCTTAAACGCCAATCGACAACGAGTCTTCTTTGACGAAATTATGTCAATTCTTCAAACACTCCGTTCCAAACCTTACGCATCTTTGTCTTCATGATAAACACGATTGCATTGACGATACAGTATTGGAAGCCATCGGTATTGGCGCCAAATCTTTGGAAACACTAGAGCTCAACTCCTGTGTAAGCATCACTGCTGATGCGCTAGCAAAGCTCTTGACGGTGTTATTAGCGACAACAAATCAGCAGACGGCACCACTACTACGTTCAATAAAGTTCAACCAGGTCCCAGCAGCTGTGACACCTCAAGTCTTGGACGTGATCGCTGAAAAGTCGATGAACTCGAATTCGACACATGCATCGATGCCGGTCGTCTTAAAAGGAAACGGCGGTATAATGGATCCGTTTCAGATTTGCAGCTGTAATAGATCATTCAGACAAAAGCGATACTGCTCTGGAACAGATTTTGGAAAAACTTGACCAAAAAGCCAAACCATGGTCTGTATTTTTGCTCTCACACCCTTTTAAAATCATCACACATACCATTATCAGAAAACTTCAAAGCAAATGATATATGTATAGTAGCGGTAGCGTCAACAATATCTCCCTCTTTCTCTCCTTGTATCCCTTTCGCTCCTTTTGGATCTTCGCTTGAATTCTCGTTAGGACAGTTTCCTTCAAATACATAAGGTGCATAAGATTTCTGTTTTTAAGAGACTAATGTGATCATGAAGGCGTCGCATATACCAAACAATTGTAATTCTAGGGCATTGGTTACTATACACCCCTTAGAGTATACGTAGCCTGTAATGAATCTTGGAGACTGACGTGTGGAAACCATTAAAGTTTTTATATATGCTGAACACGTGTGTGTAATAAATGTAAGTCTTCTATCATCTTTAAATAACGCGGTAGCACGAACGAACATACTAGCCGCATGATATAAGATCAATGGTATTAACCACGAACTTGAGCTGTGCTCCGTCGTCACCCCCCACAAGATAGAATGCGCCCGGTGTCTCAATATTATCAGTATGTCGTCAACGGTGACCAATTTGTTGCCGTCCACACGCACAAAAATGCACAGAATATAGTGTGGTCGTCAGTCGATGAAATACACTCAGTGAATCCGATTTTTTGGGCTATGTCTTTTGCGGATCCTCACTTTT